ATTGTCGCCGATATTGATTTTGAGCGGATAAGAGGCCCCAACCGTTGGATTAGATACTCAATCGAACGACTGAGGTCTACCAGAAGGGGATAACGCGGATTCAGAGAAAAAGCCTTAAGCGACGACACAGACTTTTAGCAGCGACAATGGTTGTGTTGCCACTAAAAGCCTATGTCGCTGGTAATTGTGTCGCCGCTAAAGGCATGATTTCTTGTAGTCTTTCTATTGTGGCATATGAAAAGTGTCATTAAAAACATAATTAAGTGGCACAAAAATTAAATGCCACTAAAAGTGTGTCACTAAATAACATTTTGTTTGCAGTGAAATCAAAGATTTTAGAAATTGTTTATATATCATGAATTATCCAAGTTAAATTTCATTGGAAACCCATATGTAACAAAATTTTTGAATATAAACTCTTGATTAGATGAATCCATATCGTATACAGAGCTTCTGGTTGCAAATCTAACTTGAAAAAGCCAAATTATATCTCTAAGTTATAAAATGAGGGAGTTATAGTTTTTTTTTTGTTTTGTTTTGTTTGTTTGTTTTTTTTGTTCTGAATATAACTGGGATGCTCTAAGGATTAAGGCACATGGAAATTAATGCAATATAAAGCTTAGATTTCATGGATGATCGGGCATCATCCTTATTTTCTTGGCTAGTAACGTGTATTTGTTATTACATACAATTAAAATCAGAGAACCTCTATCTCATAATTTCCGGCAAACATCTCAAGATCATCTGGTTCAGAGTCGGTCGGCTCCAAGAAAAACCCTCCAAGGGATCTTCCAGTTGTGGGGTCGTAAACGAGGGTCTCTGGTGGGGTAATGTCAGCTTCAGCCTTGTACATTTCCATTGGCTCTGCTTTCTCGATATTTGAATCAGTTTTTGCTAAAGTACGAGAGAAAGCCAGATGAACACCTGGGTTCCTTTCTGTAACATAGCTGTTGAACATGATGGAGTTATTGATTCCTTGAATATTGCTATTAACGATCGCTTTCATTTCCTCATCTTCACTGGCTTTGGACTCTCTTGCCGATTTCTTACCTTTGGAGCTTCCTTCTCCATTAATAATGGCATCAAGCTTATATCCTCTTTGGATATCGATGGCTCCTTCTTTTTTCTTTGCATGGGAACCTAAATGCATAGATGCTCCTTTGTTGTCACCAGCAAGTGTAATTACACTTGCAGGTTTTTCATCCATGGATTGCTTCGGATGGCTTGTTGCCATCTTATGAATGAACTTTGTAATGTCGTCTTTGATCTCTCTGTGTAAGGGAACATGTGCTGCAACTTTTTGTTTCTGTTTTGGAGATATTGCTTCCATTGAATGTAGATTATTCATGGATTTGGTTTGTGCCCCTTTCACTTCTGTCATCTCTATGGGTTTTGCATCCGCACCATGAACATGATAAGAATCCACCGGAAAATTTTCATTTGTTATTTCGGTAAACTTTTTGATTTCTTTTGTATCATCTGGTTTAGATGTCGACAAAGGGGGTTGGGCATCATGGTTAACCGAAACTTCTTGAACTGCAGTACGTCTGGTTATAGTCGGAGTTACCGGTGGTGGTGGTGGTGGTGATGGCGGCGGCTGTACATGAACCGGAGACGTTGGCTGAGAAATGGCTCCTGTTTGTGGTGGTTCACCGGAGGGAGAAGAGGGCTTTGACCGGACATGGGGTTGAGTGGCCAAACGAGATGGCGATAGTGGTGGTGATGGCGGCTTCTGTACATTAACCGGAGACGTTGGCTGAGAAATGGCTCGTGTTTGTGGTGGTTCACCGGAGGGAGAAGAGGGCTTTGACCGGACATGGGGTTGTGTGGCCAAACGAGATGGCGATAATGGTTTAGAATCTGCTCGTGGTGGAGAAGCTGGCATACGTGATGGGGAAACCGGCGGGGAAGAATCTCGGAATTTGGTGCCTGTACGAGATGGGGAAGATGGTTGAGAGCCAGGTTTCGCCGGTGATGATGGTTGGGGAGGACTGGGTGGCCTGACAGACGGCGGCTTTTGTGGTGGAGTTGCCGGACCTGTGGTTTCGATGGTTCGTGCAGTTGGGGTAGAACTAGTGGTTTGAGTTTCTTTTGTAGACCGAGTTGCAACAGGTTCAATAACTTTAGCAATTGGAGAATTGGCTACTGGTGACTTAACTTCAACAGGCGGCGGCGATGGTGGTGGTGGTGGTGGCGGCGGCGGCGGTGGTGCAACTGAAACTGGTTGCGATGGTGGTAGTGGCGTTGATGTCACTGAAACCGGTGAAGACGTTGACTGTGGTGTGGCTCGTGGTGGTGCTCTCCCAGCAGGACGAAATGGCGGCTTTGGAGCAGAAGTTGATGCAACAGCGGTTTGCACGGTGGTGCGTGGTGGCTCTGGTGCAGTAGCAGGCGGTGTAGCTAGGGCTGGCTGTAGCAACCAAGGTAGCCGGAAACGGAAGCCTGAAGGTTTATTTTGAGCCATGGTTTTCCGATTATGGAATCGAAGGTACTTCAAAAAGATGGTTACAGTTGTCGCTTTCGATGTTATATCATAAAATGAAGAGAAGATAATCACTATAAATACAAACTCGATACCTTAGAAATGCCATGAAAGTGACCTAAACAGGCGTTTTAATTACTTTTACCCTTATTGTGGGCAACTTTATGATGCTAAGCTTCCTCACCTAACAAGGCAATCAAAGTATATATACTTGCTTATAATTATCACCAACATGTAAATGTCATACAACCTTACAATGTCTTTAATTAAAAATAGAAAGATGAATGTTCAGATTTGAAATCTGACAACATATAAAGTATGAGAATCTTGAAATCCTTTTCTTTGGATTGTGGATTTAAGGAAAGAATACAAAAATGGTATTCCATCAAGCAATTGAAACAAAATGGAAAATTGCTACCCTACAAATATTTCCAAATTAAACCTCATTTTCATGTATAGTTAAGATGCAATTAATTGCAAGAGCAATAAAAGCTTGTCAAGAAAGGCTTCGTATACCAGTTGTACAACAATTACACAAATACACGGATAATGCATTGATAGTAGAATCTCAAAAGGGTATGGAAAACACAAGGGTGGCTGAAGTTTTAATGACAAAAGAAGATGGGAAAGTTGGATCTTGGCTATGGTGCAAGACCGATGACACAGTCTATGATGCTGTGAAACATGTATGTAATTACCATTTTTAACCCATTTCTTTTGTTATCCATTTGAATTTCATTGTAGATTTTTTTTGGTGATTGTGCAGATGGCTCGAAACAATATTGGATCTTTAGTCGTTTTAAAACCCGGAGATGAACAAATGATTGCAGGAATCGTCACTGAAAGAGGTTAATTATTGCATATTTGCATTATTTTATATAAAAAAAATGTTGCATGCATTTATTTTAGAACCGATGAAGATGTAATATAAAGAGTTATGTGTCTAGATTACCTGCAGAAGGTAATTGTCAAGGATAGATCTTCTAAATACACGAGAGTTGGCGAAATCATGACAGAACAGGTTAGCATGTTTATATGATATTTTAGTGATTATTGGCCATGAACTCATAATTGTTTGTTTTTACTTCAACAGAACAAGCTCGTAACTGTGACATCTGATACAAACATTTATCAAGCAATGCGGCTAATGTCAGGTACACGATTAATTACTTGTGCTTGTAATTTTTAGTGGCTGGTATACCGGATGAGATTTGGCTGGACAAGCTTTTTAAAGTTGTTTTCATTAACAAGGATGACAAGGGTATTCATGCTTTTTGCTTACACGAGACATTGAGACTTAAGAGTAAATTAACAAATTATTATTATTGTCTCACTCACATGAGTCCAATGCACGCCAAATATAGGACAACCTTTAATTTTGTGTCATGTCAAAAACTCTATGTGTGTTTTAGAGATGTCAACGGGGGCAAACAGGACGGGGTTGCATCCCCCGCCCCACCACCGAAATTTCCCAATTCCTTTGCATCCGCCCCCGCCCCCGTTGCCCGGCCCCCGATTGATTTTGGGATATTTTTTGTTGGGCTAAAATAAGTATTTTTTTTGGGTTTAAAGAAGCTATGTTTTGGGTTAAAATAGTTATTTATAAAATAATTTTAGATGTTAAAAACAAAAAATGTTATCTCATCTCAAAAACGTTATACTAACAACTTAAAAGCATGATTTTTTTGTTGAATTTTGGAAGCTCAAAATCATTGTTATTATTTGTTATCTTTATATCTCCCTATTCTAATAAAAGGATAATTTTAATATCATTTTGACAAGTGTTATCATATTAAGCCTCTTAATTAATGTATATTTTATTCTTCTTTTGCCATCTGTCACTATATTAGGTTTCCTAATTAATCCATGACACTTGTCAATCTATTAATTCTTCATTTCAAATTTCAAATTTTAAATTTCTCACTCTAATTACATTAAATTAATAACATTAGAATAAAAATTAAAATAAAATTAATACAAATTATAAAGTGATATAATTTCACATATTTATTTAAATTAACGATTATAACTTTATATAACTAAAAAAATATCTCTTAATTAATAATTTATTTAAAATAATTGATTAATAATTTTGAGTTCTGACTATAAAATTTTAATTAAATTTGTAACCGTGGTTTCCACGGGTTATAAACTAGTAATTAATATATATATATATATATATAAATATAATAGATATTAACGGTGCCCCCATGGGGGTTCGAGACAGGACGGGACTGCCCACCCTTGTCATCGCCCCCGAAATTAAAACGGGGGTTAACCTTGCCCCAGCCCTCACCCTCAATATTTTTTTAACAAATATCCCTCATAGGGGATCAGGGCCCACGGGTTCGGGGTCCCCCAAGACTTTTTGACATCCTTAGTGTGTTTACTACAAAATGTTGAAACGAGATTAACAAGTTATTTTAATCACAGAAAACCAAATACGTCATGTCCCGGTCATAGACGAAAGGATAGTCGGGATGATTTCAATTGTTGATGTTGTACGAGCAGTGGTGGATCAACAAAGCAATGAAGTGAATAAACTGAACAAATTCATCAAAGGCGACTACTACTAGCTAGCATTTGTCATAACAAGTGTTTGTTTCTCTATTTTCGGTCAACCCGTGTATCATCTTCAAATTTTCACAAGGTTTGGTTGTTCGATAATAATATATCAAGTTCAAACTGCTATAAGATAATATGTGCTCTGATACTACTTGTTATAAAAATATCAACGCGGAACAACCACAAAGATAAACTAAAGCAATAAAGAACACCAATGATTTAAAGTGGAAACCCGAAAGGGAAAAACCGCTATGAGTGACACTCTTATTAAAGGGTTACATGGCTGATAAATCTTCAAGGAGAGAGGATAGAAAAAAGAACGACACTCCATGGGTTTCCCATGAGTAGCTTCTAAACTCTTGATATGAATAGATATTTCACTGAACATCCATGAGGCATATAGTCTAAAAGGGAAAGCATTATCCTCTTTTCTTTTCCCACATCTTACAAGTATTCTACTACTGTCACACTTCTCAAAGTAGAGTTGATACCCATTGTGGACTGCGTAGTTTTGGATACAAAACTTCATCTGTGTAACATTCTCAAAAATGTCACCAAGTTTTGGTTCCATTTTGTCCCATTTTGTTTTTGGATCATGTATTATGTACTTGTATTTTACTAGCTCTTGCTCTTCTTCATCTTCATCACTTTGCAAGTCATCACCATGATACACTTGTGCTCTTACATCATCAGCCAAACTAGAGTTTCTAATATTTTCACCAGTTAGTAACACATTAAGAAATGCATCCTTACATTTGTCCAGTGGAGTAATGAACTCTTCGTCTGGTTCATAATCCATGTAGATGCCATGAAGCTCAAAATCCATCTAATTAAGACCAGAGAAAGGCTCGCGTAAACCAAAAATTGGGTCTATGCTGCCTTCGTCTTTTCAATCCCAATCCATCAAAAAAACACACATTATCATTATTCGTTAACCTATGAAAGCAAAGAACTGTAATAACTGAATCTTCAAAGAAATTATACATACCATGTGAAATCGACTCTCCAATAACCTAATCTTCTTCTCCTATAAACTAATCTTCTTCAAAAAGCCTTAAATTTGCGATGAATGATGTCGATTTTCTGAGGATTCTGAGAAAGTGTAGACAAAGTGTATGTTTACGTGCAAAAGGTTGAAGTAAGGTGATGGGTACACTTCTCTAGGTAAACGGACATAACTTCCGTGCCAACTCCTCAGTTAAGTGCCAAATCAGCACATGGGTAACTGGCTACTAAGGGTGCAACCTCTTAAATGAGATATTTGAAACATTTAGCGAAAGTATCCGACTTTATTACCCCCAAAACTCATACGAGGGTAAAACCGACACATTTTGGAAAACCTAAGTGCTTTTATAACAATTTCTCTCTCTCTCTCTCTCTCTCTCTCTCTCTCTATATATATATATATATATATATATATATATATATATATATATATATATATATATAGCGAAATTGTCATAAAAGCACTTAGGTTTTCCAAAATGGGCCGGTTTTACCCTTGTACGAGTTTTGGGGGTAATAAATATGGATACTCTCGCTAAATGTTTCAAATATCTCTTTTAAGAGGTTTCACCCTTAGTAGCCGGTTACCCATGTGCTGATTTGGCACTTTAGGTAACATGTCAAACATGGGCCCCATTTTATAACCCTCTCCCACATACCCCTTCCCCCTTTTTCCTGCATCCTCTCTCGCATCCACAATATTCTCCCACGCAAAATGCCAACATCTTCTGCAAAATCAAGCTCGAATGTTAATTCACGATTCAAGAAGAAGATCAAAGTGAAGTGTGGGTGTGAAGATTTATGCCATGTGTTTGTTTCACACACACCAAAAAATCCAGGCAAGAAAATTTGGGGGTGCCCTAATTATATGGTAAAAATCATTTTTCCTTTTCTTTATTTCATCATCCTGAGATTTTCCAGTGGGATTGCACTAAGGGTATTATGCACTGGCCTAATTATGTAGGGAGAAGGAAATTGTGGGTTTTTCAAATGGGTTGATGATGAAGGGGTTCAAATACAACATATGATGCTAGAGTCAAATCGACTTACAGAGCAGAGAAAAATGATGGCATTAATGCAGATGGTTGTTGTTTTGTTAGGGGCTATATCGTTCATGTTTGTTCTAGTAGTATACAAGATTTAATGGTAGTTGGTTGTTATCCCACTAGTATTGTGATCTTGAAATATGTAGCTTTTCATGGTATGAAATATCTAGCTTTTGATGGTATTTGATAATTTGGTAGGTATACGTAATGTTAGGATTGTAATTTGTAATGTATTGACGTTAATTGCAATGTTTGAATGGTTAATTTTAGTGAATGGAATTTGGAGTACAAGTTGGTTTGTTTTATTATTACATTGCATAAAAATGGTATTTTAGTAGATTGAATTAAATGGTAATTAGTATGTATTTGCACCTTTTCATCAAGACTCAGTGGGATTATGCCAACATCATTGTTTTTGAAGAATGGAGAGATAGTGGACCAGGTTGTGGGTGATAAGGAAGATGAACTTAATGCTTGTATATGCCTAAAATAGTATTTCAGTTAATTGAATGAAATGGTAATTGGCATGCATTTCCACCTTTGCATAAAGCTACATTGCATAAAATGGTCCCTAAAATGGTACATTGCATAAAAAATTGGTGAATGCTAACAATTGTTAACTATTTTAGTAACTAAAAGATTGAGCATAACATGTAACTAAAAGATTGAACATAACATAGAAGGGGGTGTATCAATTACATATAGTTTAATTACACACTACCAATATGTAGTAGTCATCCATTTGTACCAAAATGCCTAAACAATGCACAAAAAAGGCAACCTAAATGTTAACAAAAATAACAATTGGATGCATGCTGCAATCAGTGGGCGTACAAATGTTACTGTACCAAAATGCCAAAAAAACAGTGTTTACAAAAGTGGCAACCTATACCATTACCACTACACGCCCATCCCCCTTCTTCCTAACAAACTACTCCAAGTTGATTGGATTTACAGAAGAAGAACCACCACCATCTTTTTCACATACACCCTTCCTTAGCTTTATCCTCGTAATCCTCTCAGATGTTTTCCTTATTCTCCTAACCATTGGGACAACCTCATGTCCTTCATCATCACCCAATTCATCAACACCATCTTCAGGTCCATCACCATCACCTTTAGGTCCATCACCATCATCAACATCTCCGGCACAATGACCTTCTCCATCACCATCACCAACAACTTCATCTTCAGCACCAACATCTCCAGCACCGTGACCGTCTCTATCACCATCACCAACACCTTCATCTCTAGTACCTTCAGCTCCACCATCCAGACCAACATCATCATCATACTGGTGATCATCAATGAAACCATTTACATCTTAGTGTAAAAAGATATAATTAGTTCACAACAATGACCATAAAAATTGTTAATTAATAAAAGATAATAGGTCTTACCAGTTTAACTGGTGGGGAATCATCCAATTCCACTTGTACCCCTGGTATAGCTTCTATTTCTTCCATGATATTGTTGGATTAGGTGTCTGAGCCCATAACTATAATTGGTATGTACTTGAATTGATAGTAGCACAGTCTTTTTGGGTTGCCTTCATACTAGCAACTAGACAGAACAACCTATTGAGAAAGAGGAAGATTTTATTATTTGGAATAATAAATTGATATAAATGATTTATTAATGTATTACATAAATAATATATTAATTAGAAATCATATTTTTTAATTAATATTTAATTAGATATTAATTTGGAATTAATTTTGGGATTAAAGGAATTGATTAAAAGTGCAGGGGCTGTTTAGCAATTTATTGATAGTTGAGAAATTGGGCTCTTGGACTACCCTAGACGGGGTTGGACGAAAACTTCTAGGGAGGCCCTAGAATTTTCGTCCAAGGCCTTTGGATGGGGAGTCCATGGACTGCTTAGGTCTTAAGTTGGAAATTAGGGTTTCCTCCAGCAAACCCTAGCTTTAGGCTTAAGCTATCTCAGCTATATAAAGGACTCCACCCCTCTTGATTTTGGCCACCATTTTAACCCTAAGAAGAGCCAAAATCTTGAAGCTTCCTCCTCCTGCTCTCTCATACATCCTCTTGCTAAGTTTGTTTGTGAGCCATTAGAGGTGTTACACTTGTGACACTTGCTCTCAATTCCAAGATCTTTAAGGAATTCATTGTTATTACAATATAACAATTGAGTTATGCATTCTACCCTAGTTTTGTTAATTTCGAAATTATTAGATGCCTCCTAGGGTTTCTCCTTTTGTGTTCAATACTTGCATGTCCAATAGTGAAAACATAGATCCTACAAATTAGGGTTGCATGCACACATAGGGATTGTTTGTTATGCTCAAAACCCATCAGTGGTACCAGAGACTAGGATTGTTTTCTATTGAATATGATGTAATTGGTTGAACTTGACAATTAGGGTTTATGGCAATTAAACCCTTTAGCCTTGTGTTTTTCGCAAATTTGGGTTTCCTAACCCTAGTTTTGAAAATTATGATTAGGGTTTTAACCCTTTCCTTTGGCCTCCAATATTTCGAAATTTAGGGTTTCCCAACCCTAGGGTTTTTCGAAATTTAGGGAAAGGGTTGAAAACCTTGCCTTCCTCCCCAAGATTTGGTAATTTTGAAAATTAGGGTTTTGGGTAGGGTTCTTATTCTTGGTTATTATATTCTTAATCGGTTAACTAGATAATTATAGAATTTTATAATATCCCTCCTATATTTTCGAAATTTAGGGGGTAAGGGATTAGGTTAAATTATTTGATTAATTTAATAGATAATCCTCAATTGGGTTTAATAAATTAATTAAAGGTTTAATTAATAAATAATTATTAAATCAATTTCTTTTAAATTTAATTAAATTATTTTTATATCGAAATTTAAAAGATCATAAATCCTAGTATTTTGAAATGTTTAAAATACACCTTATACTATATGCAAAATTAAAAGTTTAATATTTACTACATGTATAAGACAAGTCAGTCGAACCGCTGGTACGCCTCATTCACGAACCCGATCTATAAGGGGGGGGGGGATAAGAAAACTGCCTATAAAATGGTAGTTGAATGGGTTTCCACTCTCACGCACCGCTTCCTTGATTGGTGGAGGGTCGTTAGCCGAACGGGTTTGATAGGACACTTAGTTCTCATTAATAAGTTTAATAAAATTAATAAAGTAACTACATGTTTTTCAATAATTCTCAATCTTAGTTACTTTAGGAAAAATGTGAATTTGATGCTAATCCATGAAATTCCACATTGCACTTTACATAAGTCGTTAGTGGAGCGTATGTGGTTAACCGGCACACTAATATGGACTAATAAAGGGTGGCAATGGGTGTCTCGTAAATTATCATTGATTAATGGAGGGTGTATGGCTAACCGGCACATTAATTAGGTGATAAATGACATCGAGAGTACCAAGCTAATTTGCATGGTTATTCACATCTTGTTTGTGATCATCGGTATCCCAGTCATAAATGGAAGAGCATAATCGAGATTAAACATGTCATTGAATAGTTCAATGAATCTCAAAAGATCTAGGAATTTCATTTAAAACCTAATTCGTTCAAATTTCGTTTTTCATGGTGACATTGGTAAATCGTCATTTACCTACCTTTAAATAAATTACAATTAGATTACGGCATCCCTCTTTTGAATTGTGAATTATTTAGTTGGATCCTAGCCTTAATATTTCATTTGGGTGATATATTAAGGATTGTTCTTATCTAATCAAAACTTGTCTTTCTTCTTTTGTAGATGTCAACTTCCAATAATACTTCTGGTTCCTCCAACAACAACAACTCCTCCAAAAAATTCTCGCTCTTGAGCATCTGCTTGAAAGTCACAATTGGTGGCACCAATTATAATGATTGAATGCGAAACATCAAGATGGATCTTCTCTTCGAGGACAAATAACATGTGCTTGAAAAGGAGCTCGTCGAGATTGATGAAACTAAAGCTACTCCTGAACAACTAGTTGAGTATAGGAGACACTGCAATGATGCTACCAAAGTAGCATGCATCATGGTGGCTACTATGACTCCTGAGCTACAAAGGTTCTATGAGGATTACTGGCCGTATGAGATGAACAAGGACTTGATGGAAAAGTACCATCAACGAGTTCGTCAAGACAAATACGAGGTAGTAAAGTCCCTCATTACCAGCAAGATGAAGGATGAAGAGTCTGTCACGAGCCACTTGCAACGTATGCAACGATATGTGGAACGCTTGCTTAAGCTTAATGTGATCTTCGATGAGGAATTGGCTATTGACATAGCCTTGCACTCGTTGCCTAGTTGTTATGATCAGTTCATCATGACTTATCATTTGAACAACCAAGAGACCACATTGGCTCAACTTCAAAGCTTGCTGAGAACTACTAAAAGTGGGATGAAGGGAAAGAGTGTTGCCTCCACTCGTACTTCTGCTATTCTTGTCTTGGCTATTGGGCAAGGAAAGGGGAAGAAGAGAAAAGCTACCTCAAAACAGAATTGGAAGGGAAAGTCCCAAGCCGGGTCGTCAAGCAATAGACCCAAAGGAAAAGCCAGTTTTGATGCTCCTCCTGCCTCTGATCCTAAGGAGGCTACTTGCTTTTACTTCCATGATAAAGGGCATTGGAAACGAAGCTTCCCCAAATACTTGCAAGACATAAAGGATGGCAAGGTGAAGCCAACATCGACAGGTATTTATACTCTCTTACCCAAAAACTCATCAAATTCTCATTCTTGGGTCCTTGATATAGGATGTGGTTTTCACATTAGTTCTGACTTGAAGGGGCTAAAAAGAAGTGAGGATGTGGAGCATGGGAAGATGAATCTAATCATGGTAAATAGGAGATCGTCACCTATTACCAAGATTGGTAATTATTCTTTAGTGCTTAGTAGTGGGTTAAGTTTGGATTTAAACAATTGTTTCTATTCGTTAGAAATGACGAGAAACATCATTTCATTTCATGGTTTATATAGACAAGGTTTTAGATATTCTTTTAATAATGAGAAAGGTTCTATTTATGCTTACAAAAATGGTGTATTTTATTTTGAAGCATTACCTTGTGATGTCGTGTATGAAACTGTGATGGTTGTAGACAATTTAGGTAATAGTGTTTTGCACATTGATTCATCTAATGGTTTAGATAAAGCATGCTTATGGCATTGTCGTCTTGGACATGTCAACAAGAAATGCATTGCCCAACTCCAAAAGGATGGAGTGTTGGAATCATTTGACTAAAGGTCAGATGATACATGCGAGTCTTGTTTACTTGGAAAGATGACTAAAATACCTTTCACTGGTTCTTGTGAAAGAGGTGAAGGATTGTTGGATCTCATACACACAGATGTGTATGGGGCCTTCAGATCCACCACAAGGGATGCAATTCGATTTTACGTGACTTTTACTGATGATTATAGTAGATATGGCTATATATACTTAATCAAGCATAAGTCAGAAACCTTTGAAAAGTTCAAAGAGTTTAAACAAGAAGTCGAGAATCAATTGGGCAGTAATATCAAGATGCTCATATCTGATAGAGGTGGTGAGTATCTTAGTATCGAGTTCCACGACTACCTCAAGGAATGTGGAATTGTTTCACAATTAACACCTGCTAGGACACCACAACTTAATGGTATGGCTGAGAGACGTAATCGAACCTTGTTGTACATGGTTCGTTCCATGATGAGTCGAGCTTCACTTCCAATCTCATTCTGGGGGTATGCCTTAGAGACTGTCACCCATATTCTTAATCTAGTCCCAACAAAGAAGGTTGCCAAAACACCTCACGAGATGTTGACAGGGGAGGTTCCCTCGTTGGCACATATCAAGGTTTGGGGTTGTGAATCTTTTTTTAGACGAGAGACTCACGGCAGGCTTGAACCTTGAAGTGAGAGATGTATTTTCATCGGCTACCCAAAAAAGTCCTTTGGGTATTTTTTCTACAGACCTAGTGAAAATGTGGTCTTCGTAGCACGAATGGGAGTCTTTCGTGAGAGAGAGCTCATATGCAAAGAGGACAGTGGGAGTACAATTGATATTGAAGAAATTTAAGAGTCAACTAATGAAGGAACCTCTAATACTGGCACTCAACCTGAGGAAGAATTCCAGTTGAACCTATTGACGACTCGTTGCCTCTTAGACATTCCAACAGAGTTAGAATGGCACCTGAGTTTTATGGTTTCCATATTACTACAGATGGTGGTACATTTACCAGTGATAGTACACTGGTAAATTTGGATGAGCCTTTTAACTACAAGGAAGCTATGGCGGTCCCTGAGTCTACCAAGTGGAAAGAGGAAATGGACAGCGAGATCAAGTCCATGTATGACAACCAAGTTTGGAATTTGGTTGACAATGTACCGGGTCGCAAGATAGTTGGTTGCAAATGGATCTTCAAGAAGAAGACCGACATGGATGGAACGGTACACGCTTTCAACACTCGACTGGTTGTGAAGGGCTTTACTTAAACCCTAGGGGTTGACTATGATGAGACCTTCTCACCAGTAGCTAAGA